TAGATAATCATGGAAACTACATTGATGATTAAATTTCAATAAAATGTAAGATTTGAGCACTCGTTTTCTTTATTTAAAATCCGGACAGAACTTATGGGATGACCTGATAGTTCATTGTGAAAATCTGTCGCAACTTAGTTCTAATTTTCAATAATGAAAGACCACATCATACTTTTTTCCATCCCACTTCTGACACCAATTTGTTATGTCTCCGTTCGTTAGTTAATTTTCCGTAAATCCGTTCCGACGAAACTTTAGCGACACAAGTCCTTTCTTAAATAAAACTGGTTTATTCTTTCTGAATATAACTTTGTGATACACTTAATTTCAACAGTCGCGCTATAATTCTCAACGAACGTCTCACGTGCTCGTGCTCGACAATACTTAGTTCAATTACACACTCTCTGACTGCAGTTCAATTACTCATTCCCCTGTTCCGTCACGTTGTGACCGTCTTATATATATATACCAGACTACCCCCAATTTAGTAGTCTCCCGATAATTCACGAAGGTTAGAGAAGGACGTGGCGTGATACTAGTCACGTGACCTCGCTGACGCAACAATACTTTATTTGTAAGTGCTGGAAAGACTTTGTAGAAATGTATCTTAATTACTTTGAAAATTCAGGACACAATCCCCGCAACGAATACAGCGCAGGTAGCCTAATATGTGGCTTTGTACTATAAGAAAAGAAAACAGACGTTCGAAAATGTTTTGTTAATTCCATATTCATGATGTTAGGAAAATATGTAGCTCTTAACATCATAAATATATATCCCCGTAAGGAACATGGGGCCAATTCAGATAAGTATACCTTTTTATTTCCTAACATAGGCATTTTAGTTGATTCTATGCTCAAGTACCTACACGAACACTTGACATTTCTTAATGGACAAACAGTCCTTTCAAAATACATCAGTGGAGTTAAAATAAAAGATACTATAACTCTGACCATTTCCCTACGATTTCTGGTAATTCATTTTAGCATTAATGGCCTGAAACAGACGGATAAGTCTGTTGAACACTACTTTTCAGAGCTCGAAAACATAGTAGCTCATATTTTTAGCCTCAGATCACACATTAAACTAGTTATCTCTAGTGTAATCCCTAAGCATGTAAAAAAGCAGTTTTATCTGAGGATTTCAACACGCAAAGCACCACACCAATCACACAACTCAACAATAAAATCCTATATTTTAAAAAAACTAACCAAAACCTATGTAAACTCAATCCCCAACTTGCCTTCATTAACCACACAAGCCTAATACTACTCATTAATTTTCTCGTGCGTGATGGACTTCATCTCAACTTCTCTGATATCTTTACATGGACTTCAAACTTTAAATAATGTTACGACAGCGGAAGTCACGTGACTCTGGTAACACGTAATGTGTATCTAGAAAGATCGAGGAACCTGTGGAACGTTCCTGAAGGCTCGAGCGTTTGCTAGACTCGCGCTTTTATAGTATATAAGACCGGCGAGAAGTGAGGGCAGTGAGGACTGAATAGCGGACAGAGAGATTGAAGATATAGGCGGACAACTGAGTCAAGCGCGGTAGTAAGTAAAGTGCGTGAATCGTTCGTTGAGAATTATAGCGTGTGTTTAAGTGACTGCAGAAATTAAGTGTATTGCAAAGTTGTATTGAGAAAGAATAAACTAGTTTTATTTAAGAAAGGACTTGTGTCGCTGAAGTTTCTCAGGAAGAATTTCTATGGGAAATTAACAGACAAACAGAGACGTAACAATACTTTATTTCTTGCTCTATTCTCCCAGTCTTGTCTTCCTATTCCAAGTCACTACAACTATCTCACTTTACTGTTTATAACAGATCTTCTATCCTTTTCTATCCAAACTCTACATCCCCTCCTATTTCGAAAACTACCAATGTCTCACACTCTAGTACTCCTGTCTCTCAATATTTCCATCTAAGAACTTATTCACTGTCTCACAGTCAGCTTCCAGGTTATTTTGTTTCTGCTGACAAACTCAACATAAATCACAATTTCCCGCCAATATCAAGTTCCAAAAAAAACAAAAACTTTAACTCTTCTTATGCTTCTGTTGTTCGCTCTTCCATACTCACAAACCCTTCATCTTCCACTTCCTTAACCTCAAAACTACACAAAATCAGTCCTAATGGAAATACTGCATGCTCTATACTAGAATATTTGCCAGTCTTAACTACAGAAGAAAATAACTCTTTCAGAAATTTAGAAAACTCACTGAGAAACGCACCAGACACCATCAATATGCCAAGTCGCTATTATTTAACATACAGAATAGAAACATTCCCCCATCTCTCACACTAAAAGCTCATGGCCAGAATTTTTGCAACAAATGGCAACAGATTCTTGAAAATACCTCTTTAGAACTCATTAACATTATTAAGAAAAAATATGTCAGATTACTTCAGAAGAAGAAAGGTCCACCTTTCGAAAGCGTTAGGGTTATAGGGTATCGTATTTTTTTGTTAATTCCATAGTAATCTAGAACTGGTCTTAGTATGAAAGTGCGTTTTTTTCTTGTTGTTTTTTTTTTTCAGATAAAAAACAACAACAACGAAGGTAATATGTAATAATATTAAGTAAGAAGTTTAGGAACTTATTAATTATTGTGAATAAAATTACATTTGTCTTCAATATTCTTGCCTTTACAGTTTCACTGAAAGATTGTATTTCACGTTTCGACACATAATATATATGTTGAGCCTGAGAAAATAATAAAACTTTAGATTGTTTATAAAATTATATTTGTATAAAACTGTATATGAAATTACGCGTAGTGGTTGTTGATAAGATTAAAAGAAGTATGTTCAGTTAGTGATACCTGAAGAAGGGCGAAACATTGTATCCACAGTTATATATATTAATATATATACATATATATATTAACTCCTTAGTGGTTTGATCTATAACATACTTCTTTTTATAAAATTATATTGTTGACTTCATTTACTTAAATTCTCTTTTACCTCTGACTTAGGAACGGAAATATTTAATGTAAATATATCAATTACTCTACCTTCTAAAACTAAAAGTGAATTCAATTTTAAGATTGTTTCCAAATTTTAGGTGGCTCATAATTTATTACCTGTTTGACAGGGAATTGTGAAACTGAATGGTTACAGATCGTATTTGAATTAACCTTAATGTTAAATATAAATAATACAACTGAATTTGGTAACGACCTTTGAAAAACCTTATTATATTTAAAAACTTTAAAGATAATTTAATAGTTACTAGTTAGAGTCAGAAAAATGTTTAGTTGTTTTCAGTTAAATGGGAAACGCACAGTCAAATTCAGCATCTCTCAATAAACGATGGTATTCTACCCAGAGTCAGGTAGGCCTAACTTTGTTGTTTATGAATATGACTGTAACAAGATTGATTAATATATTATAACTTATATTATTATTTATTTAATATTAGCCTATAAATACAATATTTGATTACGTAATTAAGAAAAATCAGTGCTTATATTTATAAACTTAAGTTTTAAACTGAAATAAAGATGTTTGTGAAATGCAGGATCCTACAGCTCGCACTTTACAGGAAGCTTGAAAGTGATGTGTTGACCAAACAACTTTGTACCAATGTAAGACCATCAACACCTCTATAACTTCACTTTCTCATTTAATCTATTCTCCTTACAAGCTAGAAACTACTCAACCCATAATAATAAGCTCATGCTTATATGTAAAAAAACTTAAGAGCTATTACATTGATGAAACCAACTTTCAGCAACTGGCACACTAATACCTCTCTTTACTCATTCACCATCCACAGGCAAGTAATCTTCGTGTGTGGATGTATTGACATGAACTCTTTGTCCTGATTTTACATGTGAAAGAACTATGATTGTGCTGTGAAGGAGGCACAAAATGACCCTAACTGTTGTAAATTAGTCATATTTCCAAACAGAAAAATAGCTTTTCTACTGGTGTATCAATTTGTTATAGGTGAAATGGAAAAGACAAGACGTAGTCTTAAAGTTTCCAAAGCTACAACGATTAGCCAATTATACAAGCTTTATACTAATTACCTAAATGCAAGCACATTCTGCTGCTCGAAAATTAGCAGCTTCCTATAGCGGTTTTAAAATTAAAACTATGGAACCTATATGTATACAGACATACAGTGGTGAATGCTGTTTTCCCTGCAGACAAATAGCAAGGTTCTTGGTTATCATCAGAACAGAACATGACACTCTGGGTGGCACAAGAAAAGGACAGTTGTAGTCCTATAGCTAGCACTCTATAACTGAATTGCTGAAGAAGAAGTTCTCCAGAAAAGACTGTATGTAGAATACGGTATCACCTATTCTACTATTGGGTCTGTTGAAAACTATAATAGTTGTCGGCTTCTTTCTAGAACCCAGAAGGCATGGCAGAAACCAGTACTCTAGATTACTACCTTTGCATATATATGTGTGTGTGAAAAAGAAAGCCAGAGCTAAACTACAGCTTTTGTCATACCACATCTTTCACGTGTTAGATCCACAAACTTCTAGTTATTGAGTAGATCAAGTGACTTTTTAATAATTAATTTGCCTATCTAGTTTTTAAAGGAAAACTTGAAAGTATGTATTAATTTGGTAAAATAATTCCTGTTAGTTGTAAGTTTACCCGATAGTGTGGTGGGTTTTTGGATCCAGTTGTTTAGATATACAGAACTCCAATTAGTTTGGTTCTGATGCCCTGTGTATTGTTTTGATGACCTTTGTTATCTTGGTCATTTTCCTTTTCTTAGCAAGGTCTCAATGAGAATATCTTAATACCTTATTTAATATAGTTTTAAATCTTTCATTGTGACATTAAATAACTAAATATCTCAGTAAGTGTTTCTATTGATCTTTCCTCCAGTTCAGTTTCTCAAGTGTTCACAGTGGGCAGTCTGTAAGTAGTGTACAACGGCCTTGGTCTCGAACTTCTCGTCGACGATGGCAGCAGTCCACTTTGGGTAATCAGTATGAAGCAACAAAAACGACATGGCCAGTTCCACTTGTAGAAGCTCTCTTTCTGCCAGAGTTTCCTGTAAGAGGGACAGTTAGAAGAACAGAAATATCAGGTGAGGAATTCATAATTACTTTTATTAAAAGTTTCTCAAAATAGGTAATACTGTTTCTTCTGTGTGAATATATGTAATAGTTTCAAAAGATGTGATATCAATTAACAAATACACTGTATAGAACAAGGGTTAATTGTATTTTGTAACATTAAGCTGTGACAAGGAAAAAGCTACTGAAATTATGTCAATCCAACCAAGCTGTTTTGAATCAAGTGATTTTTATCTCTAATGTTTTATTCGGTAATCTTGTTTAAATTTGATCAATAATTTTAAAATCGCAGCTACCGTATTAATGATAGTTGAACATACCAATATTTTTAAAAATATTTCCATGAATTATGAATAGCATAAATAAAAGCCTGAGGAGACAATTTCTGATTTTATAGGAAGGAGGGGGAGTATTAGAAAAAAATATGTCAGTTGGCTAGTCAAATATTTACTAATGTATATAGATAGAGAGATTTAATTTTATGAAGAACAAAAAATAAATATATAACAATGCAGCCACAAAACAAACAACCAACACCGGTTACACACCTTATGGATTGTAAAGTTACCGAAAATATTTTAATCTGGCAAAGCTATTGTAAAATCTCATTCTGTTGTTAGAAATTTTTATTTTGTTATATCACAACTTCAGTAATAAACACTGTATAACTATGTTTTTGTGGGTGTCTTATCTCTAGATATTTTGGTTGCTTAACATTTTTATATTTATTCCAAAGTAAGTTCAACACAGTGATTGTCTAACAAAGCTAAAGCTACAAATTAGCTGCATAAAAAATTAAAACCTTGCTAATCAATGACTTTGGCTACTCATATGTGATTCTTAATCTTTGCTTCATCATTACAAATTATATCCTCTGTTGTCATTTCTTCTTCATTGTCCTGTTTCTTTCCATTCTTTTCTTTATCTTTTGCTCCCTGATCTTTCGTTTCAAGATCACAATTTTCATCAAATATAAATTGAGCCAACTTCTTGTGTGATATCTTTCATAACCATAGACTCGTATACAGTGACCAATCGTAGGTCTCCTTAGCCCTCAGTCAGTTTCTTGTTTTAGAGTGAACTGTTTCCTTCAACAGACCAGTTCTATTTAGCACGTGATATGGAAGAGACAGAAGGATGGCAGCTAACTGCCTAAGATATAGGGATGGTACAGGCTTTTCCATATTGTTAACAAAGAGGGATCTTCAGATTCCATAGCAGGCATTCTCCGTGGTTTTCTAACCAAATAGGCTATTTCTTACCTTAAAATTAGTCACTTGAATAAGAACACTTAACCGATCATTAAAAATTGAAATTGTTGTGAGTTTACATACTGAATCAAAGTCTTTATCAATGACATCCTTCCCATGTATAAAATAGGCTTTTTGCATTGTGGACAAGGAATAATAACAATGTGCTTGTTTTGTTCTAGGATGTTGTTTTTTTCATTTTCTTCTACTCATATTTTCTGAACATACAGTTTTTTGCTTGCTCGTGTATTTGTTGTTGTATGGGAGATCCTTCCCTTTGTAACACTTATAAGCTAGGTAAGTTGATTTGTGGGCTGGAGTGATAACATGCTTGTAACGTTCTTGGGTATTCTTCTTCATTTTTTTTCCTCATCTTCTGTGAGTGGACAGTTTTTTGCTTGCTCATGTATGTGTTATTCTTTCTGTTCTTTCAGTTGATTGTGCTGAAGTAGCTGCATGGACATTTCTAAGAAAATGTCTTTGTACAACAACTGACTGCAGTATCTTCTTGTTGATTGGTTGGTTTCAAACTCTTTGCAACACTCAATGGACCAAGTTCTTCAAGTTGCACAGTTTTTACAGTGTTGATGAAATGGAGCCAGAATAGCTGCTAATGATTTTATTTTTTTTAAAGACTTTAACAATTTTAATATTCTTTGCATGAAGGCAGCAATGCTCATTCATAAACACTTCTCAAGTGACCTTTATACGGGCTGTGTTATTTATCACAATAGGTCATACTTTTATGTTCTCAGCTCAGTAATGGCTTTAAAACTGATATGTGATGTAATGTGCCATTTAGAAACTGACACGGGATAATTTGCAATTAAAACTTGCCACTTTTATCACTGACTTCTTAATTTCTCTTTCCAATGAAACAGTTGTATTGGTTTGTTTTTATAGAATAAAAATTTAACGCATACCCAGTAAAACTTCACTTCTGGAACAATCGTAACAGATAACGGCACTATACCATAGTTGTAGAAGAATAGTTTTGTGGAATGATTGAGACAAGGTGTTAATATTACTAATGATATGATTATTCAGACTATTATTCTCTCCTGTATTATGTGTATCATTATTTTCTACAACGTTTTGACCAGTGAATTCTCCAGGCCGGCATTAGGCATTATATCACCCAAGTGGTCAGAGTGTCTGTATTCAGGATCACAGATTTGGGGGTTTGAATCCTGGTAATTCCACAAAAAAAAAGCTTTCTGGTTGTGATGCATAGAAAAAAATGTCTGATATAACACCTGGTGACGGCTGAAGAATTCACTGGTTGAAACGTTGTGAAAATAATAAAGATGAGAATAGTAGTTCTTATAATTATATCTTTAGTATTTGTAGAAGAATATTAATGTTTTGACCAGTTAGTACACAGTTCCTGAAAGATCCATTCCGATCAAAATAACATTGTAACATGTCAGCCATTGAGCATCAAGACTACAGATGCAGTTAAACTCCAGAATTTCCTCAACACATAAAAGTAAGAACAAAAATATATTAAGTATTAAACATGCATTGTAATACAAAAACAAGAAACTACTGTTGTATTCAGTAGAAGTTAACTTTTTTTACAAACATTGAAAAAAGAAAACAAAATCTTTATACAATTAACTTCTGCTGTTTATAATCTTGTGACTAATTTAATAATTCATGCTTTTGCGTATTATGAAATAATAATCATCATATTGACTAGAGCTGGGTGATAAACTCAATTAATGATTACATATGAGTATCAGTTACATCAATTATTGCCAAATAAAATAATTGATTAATTAAGATTATGGTTAAACTTATTAATTTCACAAAAATAATCAACATATCGAAGTTAATTTGTCTGATTATAACTACTTTCAGTTAATCCAACTATTCAAGTAATTGAAATGTTGCCATTATGATTTCTCATTATTATTTTTGATTAATGCCGGGTTTTTCAGCTTAATTGACTATTGTTTCCACTGTGTTTCATGTTGGAATAATCGATTAGTTGAATGTAGTTGATTAACGAACCCGATACTTAATTGATTATCTAATTCCACTAAACACCCGAACTCTCAGTTCAACACCACCTGTATCATTCAGGACATAACAGCTTTTCAGAAACATTTATAGTTTTCAGTTACTTACTAATATTGATTTATTTTGCAGGAAAGTAACAGAATGCTTCCCTGGAAATATGTTTAGGATATGAGGTACATGTGAACAATTGCTTGCCTCTCATGGCTAGCTCTGACTTAAATCTGTACACACGTTCAGTTCAGTCAAAGGATTTCACAGAATTCACTGTCTTATTAGTGGTCTCCGGTGCTATATTGTTTATATGGTTTTCTTCTGTGATTCTCATTCTTACCTGTTTATCAATTGGAATCCTTCATCTAACCGACTTATGTTTCCTTTCACCCTCATGGGTTGGCTTATTCTTCTTTTTCTCCCATTGCCAAGTGTCTTTTTTATGGTATCCTTGCATCAGATCCAGCATCTCACCCTCTCCCTGGCTGCCCACTTCTGTCACCCATTGAGGGAGATCATCCAGGTTGGCATGTGAACCATGGCATGCACATTCATCTCTCATTAACTTCATCATGTAACCCTCTTCTCCTCATCAGGATACCGAATATCACCAGTTGCCATCCTCTACATCTCGTTTCAACTGTGAGTGGGTGAGTGTTTTTATATTTCTTTATTTCCTTACAGTGGCCCAGTTTTACATGTTGGATCCCAGTCTGCGGTGAGTGCTGCCTGTCCAGCTGTACTATTCCATAAATCTGCACTAACGGCCTTTCAGGTCTATAAGGCCCACTGTTAAGATGAGGTAAGCCACATAACTGCTAGTAGGTTCATTCTCAAGGTATTTTGTGCCATATATATATATATATATGCCTGTCCCAGACTGTACCAACTCGTGGACTATCGTGATTAAGGCAGTGTTGGGATAGCTGCCCATCCCTCTGATCCTGATTGAATAAATCGGGACTGGCCTGCTTTTTAAATTACAATTTCATGGTCATACATTGCACTTTCTTCAGTGTTGTGTTCCTCCAGACTCCCCACTGCATTGTTCTCCTCCCTCTTCAAGTGGAGTACAGGAGATCTTACCACTTACCAGCTCCTAGCTGCCGAGGTGGTGGATCATGGAGGCATCCTCTTGAATGTGCTCAATCCCATTCAGTTGAGAGTAGGGCTGTGGTGCATTAGTTTAGATGGTGTGAACCTTCCTCCTACTGTGGACTGGGAGAAAAATATGTGATGTAGCCTGGTTATGGACTGAAGATGATCCACCAAAATGCAGCTGGGACTCCTCATCCTACCACCACTTGGATGTTGGTTCCTGGGTGGCCTGGAGCTGGACCAGCCAAAATAAGTCCTCACACGTGGTTGGTAGAGATCCTTCTTCCTGCTACAGACTGGACAATAAATTCCCAAGATTGCCAGGGTTTGGATTTGAGTGAACTACTACATTGCATTCCCCCTTCCTACTGTTGCATGGGTGTCAGGTTCTTGGGTGGCCTGGTGTTGGTTGTGTACTAGGTCTGCGCCTATATGCCCAGAGTAGAGTGACACAAAGGAACTTGTTTCCCCTTCTACTTCCTCATCTTGAGGTAAGGACCTTCCTGTTGTGGACCAGCTGATAAATACCTGATGCTGCTTGGTTTTGAACTGGAGTTGACCCACCAATTATGCTCTAATGCACCCTAGGCACTCTAAACCATTTGGCAGGTCCAGTTGAGTATTTGGTGTGCTTTTTGTAGGCCCTATTAGTGACACATATTTTCACAAAAGGTTAAGAGTATACCTGGTTCAAATGTGGTACAATCTCCCCTGGGTGTGTTCCTCTACAGAAAGATGTCACACTCCATGAGCATTCTTTGGACACCTTCCGAAGGATACGCATCTTGGTAAATTTTGTACCAGTCCCTCCACCATGTCACTGTTGGATTCTAGTAGTTATTTGAGCAAGTAAGTTATCGTATTGAAAGTTAAAATTTTCCTACACTGAAAGTATATTTCCGATAGATACTTACCCCTACTCACATTTTCCACCCTACCTCCCAACTTCCAGTGCTTCTATTTTTGCCTACTTTCAATATAAAGATTGGGTTCTATAGTATAGAGGGAACCAGCTACAACAGGAAAGGTGTCACACTCCTATTCATGGCGGGTTGTTGCAGGATTATTTACATGCTACAATGCAGCTGTACCACATTAAACATGTGGGGTGGGTGGGGGGTATCAAGGTTAGTGCTGAGCAAAAAACTTGTATATATAGAGGGCAGCACTGAAGAAGAAAAGCTATTGTGTGAGAAGTAAATATCTATTGGTAATGTATTTTCAGTTTAGGAAACTCTTAACATTGAAACTAGTAAATAGATAAACATATATGTAAAAATTAACATCACCGAGTTCCATTTGGAAAAGTATACTTACAAATCGTAATATGTACATAAGTAAATATGCACACACACACATATTCAAGGTACATGTACACAAAAGAAACCTGGCTTGGGATTTTTCTCTTCTGTATGTATTAGTTTTCAGAATGGTTTATTCATTAAATGTGGAGTTGTTCTAGTTTCTGAAATTTGATTTTTAATATAAGAGTCATTTGATAGTAATATATATTATAAGAAACGAAATAAACTTTAGCTTCTATGAGCAAGTTGATTTCTCCACTTGACGTTTAAGCATTTTACGTAGTAGCGTAAAGTCAAATTATGCTGTATTCTTACTTTATAATATTTTGCTGAAGTTGTACCTTAGTTTAAGATATGATCAGAGTACATGTATAATGATAAACTAAATTCTTTTCAACAAACTTAATTTGTGTACCAGTAAAGCTCATCTAATTCTTGTATGTCGACTGATATTGTTAAGTAAATTGACAATTATTTTAAACTTTTGATTTCACGAAAGAACCAACTTGAATGTTGTTTAAGTATACTATCTTTAATCATATCATGTTAAACATATTTGTAGATTTGAAATACTAGTCTGATAAATCATGTATCTTCGTATTGTACAGTATGTAAAGTTACTGTAATTAATTGAAAGAATATCAGCACTATGCTTATAATATATTATCATTTTACGTTAATTTTGGTAAAATGTCGCACCAGAGAGGATGTAAATTTTTTTTTTCTTAATTTCATAGCATAAAGCATTTTTATTTAAAGAAAATTTATGTTTCATCAAAGTTGAAATGTCTAAATTTTTTATACTGTAAAATTATTAAACTCGTATGACTTTGTAATAAAAGGTTGAGATGTGATGGCTGTAAGGGGTGGTGGAGGCCATTTTGTTTCATTGATGTTGAACATACTGTTGCTTTTGTTACTCGTACCTCTATATATTCACAAAATCAGAGACTAATTATCTAACTTTCCGAGCAGCATTGGTATATACAAAGAAATTACTACATACTGAAGAATAGCAAGGACAAAAATTAGAATAAATATCACTAATCACCAGAAATCAGGATTTCAGGCTTCCACAACTTTTTGGTGCCAAAGATATAGGAATATAGGAATTTATTTTTTATGAAACATAAGAGTTTTTGTAAGAAAATGGCTTAAAATAAGATCGAAACATTTTAATAAGGATTTATGAATGGTCACATTTATAGATTTGTATTCCACAAATTAAAGAAGATGATTAATGTACTGTATATCTTATTAGATTAAATGATCCAAGAAACTTATAAACTTTATGTATTTTGTAGGTAAAAGAACAAATTGCTCAGGGGGCTTTTGGCTCAGTTCTTCTGGTCCAGCAGAAAGATTCAGAACAGGTTTATGCCATGAAGGTATCACACAGTTTATTTGCTACTTTTTCTGTACATTTTCTTTATATACCAAGGGAGAACAGATGTTATATTAAACTAAAATTCAATTCAGGTGACTTTCATCTACATCTGAACTTATCTTTTTCACCTTTTTAATTTTGAGGTTGGCTATATATCACTTGCTTCTTATTTTAAATGGTTTAAGAGCATTTTTGTCGCATATAAAAACAGGCCCGGCATGGCCAGGTGGTTAGGTCACTCGACTCGCAATGTGCAGGTCGCAGGATTGAATCTCTGTCACACCAAACATGCTCACCCTTTCAGCCGTGGGAGCATTATAATGTGATGGTCAATCCCACTATTCGTTGGTAAAAGAGTCGGCCAAGAGTTGGCGGTGAGTGGTGATGACTAGCTGCCTTCCCACTAGTCTTACACTGCTAAATTAGGGACGGTTAGTGCAGATAGCCCTCGTGTAGCTTTGCACGAAATTCAAACAAAATGATATAAAAATGTATATAGTTTACCACTTCATGATTTTCTTTAGCAATAATATATCCTATTTTAAGCATCATTACGATTAAGGTTATAACATTTACAATTTTTATGTTATTAATTTGTCTTTATTTGTTAAGGCTGTTTTGCATTTTCAACTTAATTATATACGAAACAAGCATAAATTTGAATCTCTTAAGGGTTTTGCATTGTGGAAGTGGTAAGCTTTGAGGGTTTATAATGTTAAAATTCAGGACTTAATCTCTACAGCGAGCACAGTATAGATAACCCATTGTGCAGTTTTGCACTTAATCAAACATACATCTTCTGAGCTGACCATACTTCATAAGATATGAATGGTATAGTGGCTGAAAATATTTTTAATTGCAAGGATGTCCAACACATATTCAATGCATTCTAATCATTATAAGTATTAGTTTTCTTGTATATTAATTTATGATGTACATTTTGTACATGTATAACATGTTATATTAAAACAGTTTTGGAGCCTCACCATGTTGTTACAGTCCATGTTGCCATGTCTGGTCATGCTCTACCTGATGGCCTTGCATCACATTTTCTATTGCAAAAGGCTCTGTCATAAGGCTGCTATGCTGAAAGTATACTCTTCCTCCCTGCATGCTTTCCATAGTCCATTTCAACAGTATGCTTGTACAGAATGTTATATAGAATTGACTTCATTATTTATAAGCTACTTTTTAGTTCTGATTAGTGCTGGGTTGTGTTATCAAGTATAGTCGATTACCTCTAAGCAGCAGTCAGATTGATTAGTGTCACGTAAACTAATTGATTAATTGGAATTATTATTAATCAAAATTAGTTTTTACAATTATTATTGATTTTGACTTTTTTTAACAGTCCAGTAATCCAAATTCTGATTATATCAATCGTCATGAAAATAATTAACAAATAACAGTTAGTAGATTTGATTACTACTGTTTTTGATTATTCCAACAAATGATTAATCAAAATTACAGCTAACTCGGTTGGTGGCAAATATAATCAGCTAATCAGAATTAGAGATTTCTATTATTGGTTATTCCAACTAACCAGTTGTTGTTGTTGTCGTTGAAAGTGATAAACTGCTAACTAGAATGACAGTAACTCTCTGGCAAGACCTGCTGCCAACTATTTTTTGATGTTGTTGATGATGGCAGTTGTGGCAGCATCCTTGCTTGCTTTTAAATTACATAGTTTTAGGAACACTATTAATCAGTTACTTGGACTCTCATTTAATCGAGTAGCGAACACCACCAATTGCCCAGCTGTAATTCTCATTTATAAACCGAGGTTGGATATGTTATATTAAAACAGTTTTGGAGCCTCACCATGTTGTTACAGTCCATGTTGCCATGTCTGGTCATGCTCTACCTGATGGCCTTGCATCACATTTTCTATTGCAAAAGGCTCTGTCATAAGGCTGCTATGCTGAAAGTATACTCTTCCTCCCTGCATGCTTTCCATAGTCCATTTCAACAGTCTTCTTGTACAGACATCCAAGGACATTGCATGAATTGAAAACCTGTTTCATTCTGTAGCAGCTTGAGGTATATGATGGTTGAATGGTAGAAAACAACTTGTGTACGCATGACTTGTGTCTCTTTTTCTAGATAAAGATCATTCTTGATTATGTTGCATACTTGTGATCTGGGGCAAGTTGATAGCTTTTGCCATTCACCTTTGTATTTGTGGGTTCTCACATATTACAAGATGCCACATGCTGATTATCAAGGCTGGGGTACGACTTACTGCAGGTCTTTTTATCTGGATGGTCCCAGTGCACAAAGTTAATCTATATCCATTTGTTTTCCATTGTAATTAATTATCATAGTTTTGAAAATTCTAAATCCCCAATCTGAACACATCTTTATGTTCTGTATGCATGAATATTTTACATGATCTATTTTTTTTTGTGGTGTCACATTACCTACGAAATTCCAGACAATGCTGAAATGTAGTTCTGATACATACTGTTTCACCATAACTATATTGACTGTGGTTGTCACTTGTCTTGCTGATTTGCATATTTAAAACTCTTTTATTATAACATACTGAACCCTCTGTAGTTAGCTCACTTTTGATGAGAAATTTTAATGGCAAGAAATGAAAGTTTGTTTACATTTTGCTTTAAGCTCACATTTTTGAAACCTTAGGAAAATGCAAAATGGAGGATTTAACTAAACAGTATTTTTCTTTCATTGATATTAAAACTAAAAATCTAAATTAGATTCATTGAAGTAGTTGTTTGAAAACACTGTAAAATAAAGTGTGATTTTAATGGTCATCTAGCTACTGTCTCCTAAGCCTATAAATGATTAGACTTGTATTTGCTTTATCTCTAGGTTCTTTCTAAAGCTCAGGTGATTATGCAAAATGCAGTCCAGCAATGTAAAGATGAAGTTACCATTCAGGTAAATATTTAAATTTAAAAACAATGAAATTAATTTTTGGACAGAAATTATTTAAAGCAGATAAGAATATTTCTATTTTAAAAGTGTGATATTTGTATTAACTCCTCTCTGATTCAACTGCAGTGGATTATTTGGAAAACAAAATTTCAATGATTTAACAGAAGTAACTAGGTTATTACATTTAAGTAATTTTTTAAATAAGTTTGCATACAGGAAAGGATTCAAGTAAGATTGTAGGAATACAGACAGCTGAAAATTTTAAATAATAAGCATAGTTTTCATTAGGAAAATCATTTTGGACTGAGGTGTTTTTTCTTTTCACACGTTCCTTTTGTCTATATCCAGATGAGAGAACCCTTTAGGTGTTGAGTGCACACCAGTATATCAGATCTCAAATATTAAGTAAAATAATAACTCTAACACTGTTTTGACTACTTTTAACTCACAAATATTTTATAATTCATATTGTGTAACCATTTTATTATAAATGCAAGAAAAGGTTTTAGAAATGTTTAAAATGACATTTCTGTGAAGCTCTGGGGAGTCTCACTTGTAAACAATACATTTTTTGGCCTTTCCCAAAGCACATTAATATTTTCGACAAGAAACTAACATCCCTTGGGAATATAGTTATTCATGTGTTATTTCTCATTTGGTTTATCATCTCTTTCACAGATTTATTAGTACAATCTCTTGTTTCTACCCTTTTATGATCTCGCGGCATGCGGTCTCAACAACTATTAATGAAATTTTGCTTCAAAAATAGGTACAGGATAGAGCAGGATATAACTACTCACTGTCAATGTAGAATCTGATAAAGTGGTGTGAGAAGTAAGTTATAGTTTTGTGGGAAAGTAATTAGATGTAGTTCATGCAGAGAAGGAGAAAAGAATCTAGAAGGACGTTTAGAAGACCTAAGTGGGAATTTTTTTATAGCTATGTTGGACATTCTTTTTGTTCCTGAAAATGTTTTTGTGTTAGATTATATTTGTTTGAAAGGTACAGGAAGTATTTTGTACAACAAAATACCAGATATCTTAGTTAGTATAGAGAGTACAGCAGTTTAGAGAGTACATCAGGTGACATCTTAGTTAGTATAGAGAGAACAGCAGGTGACATCTTAGTTAGTATAGAGAGTACAGCAGTTGACATCTTAGTTAGTATAGAGAGTACAGCAGTTGACATCTTAGTTAGTATAGAGAGTACAGCAGT